CTAACTTGGCAATATGGCTATTTTAACTTAAAGCCGGTACTCTGAGGCTCTAAATTAATCAATCAAAATGAATACATTTTACATATTTTAATACGCATCAATTACATCTGCTTAAAATTACTGCACCATTTGTGGCTCCGTCTGTTTTATTCTTTGTGGAGCATCCAAAGGAAACAAGCCAAAGAAATAGTGTACCGCTAGGTCTACCACCATCTAGATTAGAGTCGATCATTTGTAGGCTGCCCAAGTGGAGGCCTCACAACTGTCCTGATTTCGGTGTGACATTCCTGATTTTCGGGTCCTATTCTACCGTCCTGCCTTTGGGGATACCAGGGAACGGTCCCCAACAAGCACTGAATGAGAACATCATTAGATGCGCTATTTTTAGGGCACCAGGACCCTGCAGAGAGCACAGAAGCAGTGCCCCTGCATGTTCTGCCCTAAATGTGGGCCGCTTTGAATCATGGATAAGCAGCTTGGAATGCATTCACGCCAAGCTGACCTGCCAGTAATTTGGGTGCATGCACCCTACTTTCAACATCCCGAGAAGCAGGACGCCGAATTTGGGGGGTATGCAAATATGAGTGCAGATAATTACTTATATCTTATTTTGACATTCTATTACAAATTGGCACTAGATTTATTTTGTTTATCTTCTTTGGGTCCATATGCATATTTACACTTTAATTGTTGGACGGTGAGTGTGTTTAGATTTTACACACCTAAATTTGAGTGCTCCACTTATGATTGCAGTGTACTTTTGTCACTTCAATTTTAAAAATGTTTGCATGCATTATTGGGTGTGGTGTTTTTGGTGTTGCAGCTGCTTGTTATAAAATTGTTGGTCGTGGTATATATTTGCAAGGTTCTGAAGCATCTTTTTTCCCAGTCTCCTCTAATATAACATTTTAATTTCGCTGCTCAACCTCTGAAACTTCCCTGTTTAGTGAATAAACAATGAATTTATACTTTATATGAATATATGCAAATATCACTAGGCTAGAATCACTAGCAAAATTGACTGGAGTGGTTGTAACTTTCAGGCCAAAATAGCACTTATATAAATTACCCACAATTTCCAGTTTAGTGCATATTATAATATTATATTGTGCCAGTTTATAGCATTCGTTAATGAAAATATATAATATGTTTTTACAGCTTGTCTTACAAGTTTATTGCTAATTTAAATATGGTCTTCCTCTTTTATTTTAATTTAAAGGAACACTGTAGTGTTACGAATACAAAACTGTATGCCTAACACTTTAGTGTCCCTCTGCAATCACCTCTCACACACACCCCTACCCCCCGGCAGCAAATAAAGGGTTTAAAAACTTTTAACACTTTGCTTACTCAAAAGCTAATGTCCCTTGGCACTTGGTCCGGGTCCTTTTAGGTCAACTGATGGGGAACCTAATACTCGAGCACCGCACACGCATTAGGTCTTCCCCATAGGAAAGCATTTCCTTTGATGATTTCGAGGACACTGGGTCTCCTCATGCAAAACATGAGTGCATACAGTGTCATTTCATGGAGTCAAACTCTGTGAAAAGTCAAGTATCACCTCTAGTGGCTGCCTCGTAGACAGCCACTAGAGGCTGTTTAACCCTGCAATGTAAACATTGCAATTTCTCTAAAGGGCTAAAATGACAGGGACACTGCACCCAGACCACTTCAATGCGATGAAGTGGTTTTGGTGCCTATATCGTTCATTTAATCTTATTTAATCATGGGTTTTTAAACTCTTTGTTGGTCGGGGTGGCCTGAGGAAGGGAGAGGCAGAGCTCAAACTTGTATTCCTAACACTATAGTATCCTATTAAGGCTAATGTAGCTAAACTAGAGAAATTCTCCTAGTCAGCTACTTTTAAAGTTGGATTACTATTCTCCCTTTAGTGAATAACCCTGTGTGTAGTTTGGGTATCAATTTTTTTTTTTGTGATATTATCTAATTTTTCTCCCAATGGCTTAATATTCTAATGGGAAAATATATAGTAACATTCATGCTATGTGATTTTTGTAACAGAGCTCTGAGCAGTGCAATTCGTTCTAAACTAGTGGCAGTTATTACTAATCAATTAAAATTGCACATTGGAGCCAGTATTTTGTGTTTAATAGCAGTTTATTTAATGACTGCTCTCAGCCAATCAGCGGCGCCCCTGCCCAGTGGCACTCCACTCTTCCTAAATCAGAAATCTCAGAAGCTGGATGTCACCTTGGCAGAGTTAAGATTGGCGCTTGAGGCAACTTTAGGGTTAAATCATTCGAGAGGTGTGCTCCCAAGGGACATCATATGAAGTATGGTGTCTAAACTGTCCCTTTAAAAGGACACTATAGTCATCAGAACCACTACAGCTTCATGTAGTAATTCTGGTGTCTACAGCCTCACCCTGCTGGCTTTTCAATGTAAACACTACTTTTTCAGAGAAAAGGCAGTGTTAACATTTCTGCTTATTAGCACGTCTGATGGCAGTCATTCAGTAGGCCACCAGAGGTGCTACCTAGTCCATGCTCTCCACACTCTACATGGAGGATTTGAATGTTTACCATAAAGATAGATTGATTCCATACATCTCCATGAGGACATGCTGATTCGCGCAGCTCACTATATTCCCATGCATGCATAATAACCTCCCAATACTTTACTATGGTAAAGCATTGGATTAGATGGAGACAAGACCAGCGTCAGAAAAAAAGGTGGGTAAAAACATTTTTCCCATGCGATCCTAGGGGGGCTGGTCACCTAAATAGGTAGCTTAACACTAATGTGGCAGGAATACATGTTTGCTGAATGGCTGAAACTTTGGAAGTCAGTAGCTTCAGGACCATCTGAACGGAATCCTAATGGACACTATAGTCACCAGAACAACAACTTAATGTACTTATTCTCGTTCCTGCTGCCTGTCCTTGCAGGCTTTTTAATGTAAACACTGCCTTTTCAGAGAAAAGGCAGTGTTTACATTGCTGGCTCGCTACACCTCTGGTGGTCTCCACTCAGACGGCCACCAGAGGTGCTTACTGGATCAATGTTTAGCACAGACGTTCAGCGTCTCCTCTATGTGGAGATGCTGATTGGCGCAGCGCAGCATTTTGCCATGCATGCAAAATACCCTCCCAATGCTTTTTTTCTGGTAAAATCATCAAATTTTATGATTTCAGCCAAGTAGGCGAAGTGGGAGCAGCGTAGCGTGCAGCGCTGGAAAAGAGGTGGGTAAATCACCTTTTAAAAGAGGTAAGGTGGGTTCAAGGATCTAAACGCCAAATTTAGACCTATCATGTCAGGGATACACATTTATCTTTCAGTTTCATTCTGTTCTGTATTTTTGCAGTTTTTCCTATAAATGAAACCTTCTCTCTTTTCCTTTGATGGCTGCTTGATACTCCCTTTCTTATAAATACCTATAATCAGAGTATATAAACGTTTTTATATATGTATTTTTGTCAGAATTAGTACAAGTGTTAAAACTGGCATTTCTGCTTCTATACGAATATTTCAGACACCATATGAATTATTGCATGATGAAGTAAACCATTTTTTATCTCACCTCCCTTGTTTCTGTAAGGAATAAATTTACACAATGAAAAATGAAAGCTGTGGTAATTGCCTAAAGTTTATTTTTTTGAGAGGCCACGAACAGAGATCTCTAAAATAAATAATACTTTTATTCTAAGTTTTTGGGTTTGCTAGCAATGCATCTCATGTTTCAAATAAATATGATACTTTAAAAAAAAAAAAAATAGAATTAACTCAGTAGTGAAGATGTTAATCCATCCCTTGCCCCCTCAATTTTTAAACTACCTCTTCATTTCACTTTAGCTGTTGTCTCCTTAAAAGTTCCTCCCCTTACTCCTCCATCACAGAAAGTCCCTTCAGTTCCCCCTCCCTACCCCCCACTGTTCATGAGAAGTATGCACAGTCATAGTGCTCCTTAAACTTCTTATGATGTGTTGCATTTTTTGTGCAATAACACAGGAATCTAGTAAATTGCATATGCGTATGAGACCACAGCAGTCTCTTCTTTGGAAAATAATAGCCACCTCATCTGCTTTCCTCTCCACCCCCTCTATCTCATTGCCCGTGTTGCAACATGCAGTGATCTCTCCTCCCTAACATACTGTACTCTTAAATTCCTGTGAATTACAAAATTCCTGGAACACGTTCTCTGATTCAGCCCTACGAAGGAGGGGTTGTGTTTCTATTGCCTGCATAATTCGCTGTATATATATAAAAAATATATATGTATGTGTGTGTGTGTGTGTGTATGTATAGTTTGTACATGTATCTATCTAGACATTTATATCTATCTAGATCTGGTTTTATAATACACACACACCTGTCAGTAAGGTTACTTTGTGGCACTGTCTGTTTCTGTGTCGATTTAACAACATGTGGCATGTGCAGGCAGGATGCACTGTGTTTATTTTGTGTAACCAGTATGTGATTATTGATAAATCAAACAATGAGTGTTCAGGACAGGAAACAGCTTCGGCTTGCAAAATTAGGGAAAACTGATCAGATATTACATGGTAACATAGTGACGCGTAAACAAAAGTGGGCAGCTGGAGGGGTTTCCAAGAGTGCAGGCAGGAATATATCAAAGATTCCGCAGTATTAACATTACACCGAGAATTGAATAGAAAGCCAATCTTATATACAAAGGAAGGACATGAAGATATTTAGTAATAATAATGAATTGTGGGTAGAATAAATTGAGCAATAGGAAGTATTCATATTAAGACCTGGTATATAGTACATTAAGTGTATATAGCAGGTATACATATAACAGTAGACATTATGCAGAGACAGTTAATGTAGTGATACAGAGAGAAACATAGGCAGTGGTGTTGTGGGGCAGTAGTAGACGGTAATGTTAAATGGAAGGTAGAGCTATAAGAGATGACTGCATAATAGGGTACTCCCCCTCCTGGTTCCTGACCTTGCAGTAGGGGAGGGACTGTTCAGGGAAGAGAGTAAGAAAGCACCTGGGTGTGTGATGTTTAGGAGGGGAAGTCCCTTTGTGAAGCTGCTTCCTACACAGGCTGTCAGTGTATGAGATTGTGAGCCAGTGAGAGGGGGACACCGGGCTTGTTAGAGAAGCTGGTGGAGTGATGCAAGAAAAAGAAGGCTTGGGAGGAAAGATAGAAAGAAATCAACAGGGGGAGTGTGACAATTAAGAAAATGCAAGTGATTGTTAACGTATAAGAAAGAGACACAAAAAGAGACTGGGCATAATAAAGTGGAAAGGAGAACTGGAGGAAGTTTAGTATTTAAAGCATTAAGCAAAAAAAATTGAGGGAGGTGGAAAGCATTTACACGTGCAGAGGAAAGAAAGGGATGAGAGGACAGATAATTAGCCTAAGGGCAGTGGATTAAGAGTGAAGCTACACAGAGGAGGGACGACACTAAAGGTAAATTGAGGGATGCAATAAGGAGGAAAGATGTCCCTATATGCCCTCTCCATAAACAGGGGGGTGCAGAGAGTGAGGCTTGCAAGAGAGGGATACCCAGTCACTGAAGAACCAAGAACATGCAAGTGATCCAGATCTGGGACATATAGATGTTAAT